AGGGCTTAGGGTTTAGGGTTTGTTTGCCTAGGGTTTGGGGCTTAGGGTTAAGGGCTTGGGGTTTAGGGTTTACTTCTTCAGAGGTGGTACAGAGCCTTGAGGACAAGGAACCGTTTCGTTCGTAGGCCTTTTTTGACTACAGGTACGTAGGGCCGGGGGCTGGGGATGTAGGATTTAGGAAGTCAGAGACTCAATCGCGTGGAAGGTAGGGTTTAGGGTTTAGGGTTTAGGGTTTAGGGTTTAGGGTTTAGGGTTTAGGGTTTAGGGTTTAAGGTTTAGGGTTTAGGGGTTCACTCCGCTTGTAAACTCAAGTTATTTTACATGAGCCTCCAAGGTAGCCCAAAGCCGCCAGGAGTACATCCTACACAGCCATTCAAGCAATCGGTCCATCCTCTACTCTGTTATGGACGGGCTCCGAATATCGGAATAACTCCGTAAGGCTTCAGAGCCGAAAATCTGAACCGAGAACTCGTAACCTCCACCAACCAAAACGACCTCCTGAGCTGATGTAGGGGCCTGAATGATCAGAATAGGGTTTCGGGGCCACTATACTATAAATATCATAAGGAACCCCCCCCAACATAGTATAGGTAAGTAATAAGGCCCCTATAGTAAACTCCTCATCTTATTTCCTTATATATGAAGTGACTACCCCACAATCCTACGAAGCAAACAAAACATGTACGTCGGAAGCCGTTGCCCCTAAAGCCCTTAACCCAAGAAGTCCCGTCCAACCGTGCCGTCAAACCTTGAAGCCCTGTACTACTTTGGGGGCCCCTTATTTAAATTATGGTGGAATATACCCCTAAACCCTATTCTACTTATTAAGAAGGCCCCTATATCAAACCCTGGAGTCCAACTAACAAATCCCCAAACCATGGATCCTGAAACACGAAACCCTGGAGTCCACTTGGACGCATAAAGTGTAGTTTTGGAAATCCCTAAACCCTAAACCCCTAAACCCTAAACCCCTACACCCCTAAGCCCTAAGCCCCTAAGCCCTAAACCCCTAAAGCCCTAAGCAAACCCAAAGCAAAGAGAAGCCCAAACCCTAAACCCTAAACCCTAAGCAAAGAGAGGCCTAAACCCTAAACCCTAAACCCTAAGCAAAGAGAGGCCTAAACCCTAAACCCTAAACCCTAAGCAAAAAGAGGCCTAAACCCTAAACCCTAAGCAAAGAGGAGCCTTGCCTCGGAATTCCCCGAAGACTCCTCGGCGTCCGCCCAGCGGCCGACTCCGTTGACGAAGCCCCAGGGAAGACTGGGAGGCTCCTCTTCAGTTTGTGTTTAGGGTTTAGGGTTTAGGGTTTAGGGTTTAGGGTTTAGGGTTTAGGGTTTAGGTTCAGGGGTCTGGGGCTTTAGGGTTTTAGTAAGGGTTTAGGGCTTTGGGAATTTGGGGCTTTAGGGCTTTAGGGGGTTTAGGGGCTTCAGGGCTTTAGGGTTTTAGGGCTTTAGTAAGGGTTTAGGGCTTTTGAGCTTTAGGGCTTCAGGGGTTTAGGGTTTAGGGTTTTAGGGTTTGGAGTTTAGGGTCTAGGGCTTTAGGGTTTAGGGTTTTAGGGTTAGGTTGAACTTACGAACCAGTTCTCCGTGCAACCCTATAATAACCCGAATTAAACCCTAAGGTTCTCCCCATAATCGCCCTAAGCCCTCGACCCGAAGGTGATAACCCTACAAGGTTCTCCCCGTCTTGTTTTTTCCAAGAAGCCCGGAAAATATAAGGTTAAACTTTCAGATGACTACTAAACGATCTTTCAGCGCAAAAAGTCTCAAGGTTGGGTGTCGGAGAACTAAGTTATGACAACCCTAAACCCAACACCCCCAGTTCTCCTTTTAACTTGCTCAGGTCCACAAAAGAGACATAAGTGTGAGGTGCCAGGCTTTTGAAACAGGATACTTCTGTTCAAACCCTAAACCCTTAACCCCTTAAGCCCCAAACCCCTAAACCCTGAACTCTAAACCGTAAACCCAAACCGGGATTAGGGAGGGCTTAGCGTCAGGCTTCCAGGCTCCTGAAGCAGGAGGGGTATTCGCGTTTAGGTTCGGGGGTCTGGGTTGGAAGTCCCATGTCTTGAGGGCATGAATACCGAGGGTTGGAGCCCCCTTCCCTTAAAGCAGGGTTGCCAGTGCCTAACAGTGTAGAGTCGTAGGGTCTTGTGAAGTGTTTTAGCAGGATTTTGGCACCTTCTTACACACCCTGTGGTTCACAACAACAAGCACTTCCTGTAAGGATCCTATCCCTTGCCGCCAAGTCTAAAGACCATACCGATTGAAATTTAGATTTCTCAAGAGTCTAGGGGGTGATTGGGTTTCCAGAAGACTTCCTATTGCGCGCTTGAACGGTGGATGTGAGCTGCTATCAGCCTTGCCGTCTACACCCCTGTAAACAATACCAAACTCTCTAAGCCCGCTGGAAAGAATGACTAAGCTGTCTAGGGTTACTAGGCCTTCAGGGTTTCGTCATGTTTGGTCTCTAGACAAGCTGAACCAAACCCCACAGAGCCTAACCCTGCAGCTTTCTTCACAGATGTGATACCCTGGGAAATAACTAGTTTAGGGTTTAGGGTTTAGGGTTTAGGGAATACACTAATAAATGCATGGAGCAATCAAGCTGACCGCATGTTTTATGCCGTTGCAATCTTGTGTGTGTCCACTGTGTTTGTCCATGCTCCTCGGGAACGATACCCGGTAACCAGCTGGTCAGACATCGATGTGGATTCCAACTGCCAGCCCTTACTGTCAGAAAAGGGACTTTTTAAGCAGTTGTCTGCACATCCTCGGATGCATCAAGGACTTGTGGTACGTCCTGACAAGCGTCCCAGTGCAGACCCAACTCTCCTGCAACTTCTTGAAGCTGGTCTGCAATGGCGGGACGCTCAGAGGCAAAAGTGAGGATTTTGCCAGCCAGGAACGATGGCACCTTCTTGCCACTCGCCCAAACACCCAAAGCTTGGTCAAGACCCAGACCCATCCTCTGAGAAGCCTGATGCATGGATGCCCTCAAAGCCTTGCCCAATGCCTGCGCGGCAGCAGCCTTGCGCTGGAGCAGGGTGGCTGCCCTTACACGACAAGTGGCATCCATGGCCCCATGGGCCAACCACACTCTCAGGTCGATACAGTCCGGCTCCAGGAAGATCCGAGAAAGGTCGCCCAAGCTCGCTCCCATGCCTGCTGCGAGCCCTGCACATCGAGTTTGGCCACCGTAAATGCATAAATCAAGTACGGTACAGCTTCCGAGTGTGAATCTTTCCCTAGTGCCGGCATGTGTCGTCTCCGTCCAGAAAGGTTGCACACGCACACTGTCGCCGAGGCATCTGCCATGCCCTAACCCGGACAACCTCGCCAACTCTAATCGAGTCGATGACACCTTGCGCCGCCCGTTCGCCTCAGCTTCCATAAGCCACCCTAGCGGAAGTAGAGCGTCTGCATGTCGAGTCTTCGAAGCCTCCTCGGGCTCGGAACTGCTGACTCGCTCCAAGACCCGCTGGTCGCCTGAGAGTACGATGGCCTCACGAAGAGATATTCCGCGAACACCCAGCAAGCTCCCATATGACATGGCATAGGACCAGTACGAAGCGTACAGACCTCGTTTGTTATCAGATGTTATAAGGCTGCTGTGAGAAAAGACCTACTATCTGTCTATCTATCCATCTTTCTATNNATATATATATATATTCATTTGTTTATGTATTTAATTATTTATTCATACATACTACCTACATACTTAATTACGTACGTACGTACACACATACACGGGTACTGTTGCATCCCGCCCACATTACCCGGCTGATGGCAAAGCCCAAACCACGTCACCTGTTCACAAGTTTACCGCTCATTGACTCCATATGGTTATAAGCCCCCTGATCATTTCACCATATTCACTATTTCATCTTTAAATCCCCGCACGGTTATGGTAAGGCCGCTTCCCCATGTCACATCTTCACTAATTAATCAGTTCATCGTTCATTCCACCCATATGGTTCGGCCTCCTCATGCCTCGTAGGACCAAACTAATTGGTGACATGGCGAAGCGGTGAAACGGTCGAGGATGTTAGCCGGGGCTTTCAAGCAGTCGAAGATGTGCAACCCTGGGCAGCGCGTTTAACATGTCTGCAAGGCAGTATGTTTGTCACCCCGATTGAGCACGGAAGCTTCCTCGATAGGCTCCAGACTTGGGTTTGCAAGGATGGTGGGGAACGCAACGGGAACAGGTTGCTTGAAGTCGGGTGATACATATTGGAACGAGGGTTACAAGCATAAGTATCCTACGAGACTTACATACTATGGACACTGAGCATTGATGTTGGGTTTGTTTTGGACACAAAGACAGGTGAATTCACGAGGGCTGATATGCTAAGGGTTTATAAACTTCGCGACGTCGCCTGCATTTTCTAGATTCTGCCTGGGATCCACCACCAATCGCATTGGGGGGGGGGGGGGGGGGGG